TTTGTTTATTTTTTTATAATAATATATTCTCGTAGGAACCGTAGCCTACTATCCATCAACCCGCTTTGCGGCCCTGCCTGCATGGCTTCGCGTTCATTACGATACGCAATGTAATGATATAGGCCTAATAGTTGTTCAAGCGATTCCATGTTTCATCATGATTGCGGTGTCAATAAATAGGCCGTCGATCAGACCTGACATCTGGCAGTCCCACAATAATTATATATTATTATATAACACTTTGTAGGATTCGCTATTGTACCAATGCTCTGATAAAAAAAAAAATCTTTAATAAATTAAGATACCTACATTCCTAGTTCCGATTTCAGCTGTCTTCGGGTTTTTTTAACAAAGTTGCCAGCGCGGGATTCCCTTCAGGTGTGTTACTTCAAAACGAGTTCGGCGTGACGTCATTCGATATATTCTTAAGTATAGCCCGTTTCTTTATAGTTTCCTTGGCGCCCCTATATTTTCATCAGAATAGTTTCGTCAGATATAATTAATTATACGTCATTGTGTTTATGATTTTCGAGAATAGTTCAACCATTGAACTAGATTTGAGAACAAACAATGGTTTTTAAATATTTCACGTTTTGCAGATTAATACGATACTCCTCACATTTTGAAAATATGTATGATGTAAGAAAATAAAAATAATCTATTAAAACTTAATAATAATATCATCTCAGACATCTGACTCATTTAGGACGAAGAACATATAGCACATGTCATAATGACATAGTACCGATAGTACCATGAAGCAACGACTGCGAGTTTTACAACATCCGCATAAGTTGTAGTGTACATTAAAGCGAGATCAAGCCTAGCTTCTATTGAAGATGCGATAGTACCAAATATCAATGCCAGCGTTATAATTTTATGTTCTTATCTATTTCATTTCCGGTCTAATTTGGTGATCCCATGCATTTGCTTTTCGCATTAGCCAGTGATTAATCGAGCATTGTTGATTTCGTTAGACAAGATTATTATTATTATTACAGCATATTTATAGGGCGCCCTTTCATATAACGCGTACAGCACACTGATCCGCAGTGAATATTTGCTTGGCCTACAGGTGCACTTTATAAAGCGGCAATGTAATCATAAAAACACAACCAGATTATGGACATGTTAACGGTTGTATACAGAGTCAGTTAAAAGACTGATTTTAAAAAAAATAATGTGTTTTAATTGGGTTTTTTTTTAAAAAGAATATAGAGATGTACAACATCCTAAACTATATGGTTGTTTATTTCATAAAACAGGTGCTTGATAACTAAAAGAGCACTGACCAGAGACTTATTGAACAGTTTTGGGGTTTTAAAAGTAGTTTATCAGATGCACGCAATGTGTATACAGTTCTAAACGATCTGAGAGGTAAACATGAGCTAAATTATTTAAACATTTAAAATTAAGTAATAAAATCTTAAAATCAATTTGATATTTAACAAGTAACCTGTTTAAATTATAAAAAGCACGAGCTATGTGGTCACATTTCTTAGTTAAAGTAACAAGTCTAGCTGCTCTGTACTTTTTGTAATACAGTTTGCAAGTTGCAATTTTGATAAATTGAAAGAAGATGGACAATTAGGTGTAAATGAAATATATAATTGAGTATCATCGGCATATAAATGAAAGCTGGGACCATATTTTCTGACAATATCACCTAATGGTGATGTATAAAGGGTAAATAAAATCGGATCAAGAACAGGACCCTGGGAAACCCCAGACGAAAAAAACAGATTCAGACGAAGATTTACCATTAACTAAAACACACTTTTTTCTACCGCAGAGCCACAAATGCCGAATTTAAAATGAAGTCTACGTAAAAGAATCCACCGTGTACATTTTCTATCATCAATTTCCAGTAAAATATCAATTGAAACCCGGGTTAAAGCTGTTTCGGTAATGTGAAATTGTTTATAAGCACTTTGAAATGGTTCATACAAACAGTTATCATCTAGATGGGCTTTTATCTGAGAAGCAATACATTTCTCCAATATTTCAGAAATAAAACATAAGTTAGAGACAGGTCTGCAATTTTTAAAAAACATTAGAATCCAATGTAAACTTTTTAATTAAAGGGGCAACACAAGCTTGTTTGAAAACGTTGTGGATAATAGAAGAAGATATACAAGAATTATTAATATTGGTAAAAACAGGAATAACTTCGTCTAGACAGTCCTTAAGAACAGGAGTCGGAACAGGATCTAATGAACACGATTTAGGAGCAGACGATTTAAACATACATTATGCAAGAGCTAAATCTGCCCATTAGACATTAATTAACTTATCCAGACCATAATCAACTCTCGATGCCATCGCCAGCCTGCGATATTTACTGGATTGGAATACATTTTGTGGTAGATAATTTAACGTAAAACTAAATAATCGAGACTTTGTTTGTTATCACACCAACGCCAGTAATGACGACCGAGACCGGCCTAAAATCTTTTGGCTGATACATGTATCTCGGTTCAGAGTGAAGCAATTTGACTGAAATCTTCAGCATATTTTGTTTTTATTATCTATTTTGTAACTATAGCGAAAACTGTCAGATCTTTATCTTATCTTATCTAATGATCCTTTAATTAGTTTTGAAACATAAGCTTCACTAACCAAGTTAAAATTTTCTAAATAAAAATAATTTTGTAACTTAACAAAATCCTGAGCGTAAAGGTCAATAGTTTTATTTAAAACATCAAGTTGAGTTCGTATTTTCTGTATTTTTATTTGAAATTAACCCCAGAATAAATTCGCGAGTTCAGTGTCATCTTGTCCGGGAGAAAACACAACTTTTTGTCTCTTTTCACCGTGGGTTTTCTCTGGGTCCTCCAGCCTCACACATTGCTAAAGACCCATATAAAATTGAACCATATGTTAGTCTAAAAATGACCTAGCTCGTGTCGAGTGGACAACATTATTCTTTTGGACACCGTTTATTCATTTGTATCCGGATTCAAAATCATTTCACATCGTAATGGCACGTTATTGTCTATTTCAGTAATAATTGAATTTGATTCAATGTTTAGAAATATTTTTCATTTTTATACGCCCACATTGGAAATGTGGTCGTATATTGCCGTCGCCCCCGTCCGTCCGTACGCCCGTCCGTCGTCCACAATTTCTTGTGAACACTCTACAGACCACATTTATTATCTGATTGTTTTGAAATTGATATATGTTAGTGAGATGAAGAATCCTATTTATGGCCCTTGATCACTTTGAAAAATCTTGTGGATGCTCTAGAGGCTAAAGTTAATATCCGATTGACTTTAAATTTATACACGGTGTTTAAGTTCTGGAGACGAAACGGCTCAGTGAATTTGAATGATTTCCGATGATTACTACCAGAGTTATGGTCCTTGATCACTTTGAAAAATCTTGTGACGCTTAGAGGCTAAAGTTAATATCCGATTGACTTTAAATTTATACACAGTGTTTAAAGGTCCGGTCCCAGTGGCCGATGGACACAAAACGTATGCAAAAAGGACACAGCGGACGAGCAAGCTTTCGGGGTGGCTCCATCCGTTTTCATCCGCTCCAGAAATGGACAAAATTGACGAAAATTTGCGAAAACAGAACGGAAAAGAACGAACGTGGGAAATATGTAGCGGGGATATTAAATGGATGTTCATCGGAAGCCTAGCGGATGAAAGCGGATGGAAGTGGATGACAGTTCCGAAGGTGTTAGGCAAACTCCAGACATCCTTCAATATAACAGATACATCCCAGATACAAACGCTTTGTCCGTTTTGAAAACTTTATATACGAGATGCAAACGTTTACATCCTTTCTATTTCCGTGCTACTAACGATGTATAGACGTTCCATGTACCTTATCTTTCCTCCCTCTTTCCGTTTTCAGCTGGAGCGGATGTGAGTTGCGAGGATGCCCAGAGGATGCAGAGAGGATACAGTGGACGTTTAACGGATGACAACGGACATGGAACGTTTGGTGCTGGTATATGTCGCGCATTTACATCGTACACGACAGAAAGTTCATCCGTTATAAAAGTTTTGTGCAGCTCAAAACTTTTTGCGCGGATGAAATCAAAGTGAACGGATGCTCCATGGATAGAGCGTATGAAACACGTATGCAATGAGTACACAAAGGATGCATGGCGTTATCAAACGGAGGGCACGTTTTTTTTCCCCGTTTTACATCCTCTTTGCATCCATAAGTGCAGTGGGGCCGGGCCTTAAGGTCATGAGACGAAGAATCCTATTGATTTTCAACGATATCTGGTAGTTACTGCTAGAGTTATGGCCCTTGATCACTTTGTAATATTTTGTGGACGCTCTAGAGGCTACAGTTAATATCCGATTGACTTTACATTTATACACAGTGTTTAAGGTCTTGAGATGAAGAAGTGCATCGGTTTTCAATGATTTCCGATAATTACTACTAGAGTTATGGCCCTTGATCACTTTGAAAAATCTTGTGGATGCTCTAGAGACCAAAGTCATCATTCGGTTGACTGTAGATTGATAAACAGAGTTTTAGGTCTTGAGATAAACAAGTATATTGATTTTCAATGAATTTTGATAACTTGAACAGCTAAATCCATGATATAAAATGTTTCGTATTTAACGTGAGCGTTGGGCAGAACTAAAAGCCAAACAAATTCTAATGATTTTCTGATAATTACTTGATAAGTTGTTACTCTTAATCAGATTTTAGTGTATGATAAATGTTTCATTACCGACAATAGGAAAATATGTGACAACTCTTGTTGACCGCTCGGACGACTTAGATGCTGTAGGCGTATGTTTCGTTGCCTGGAAACCTATCTTTCATATTGTATCTGACATGCCGTAATACGTGATATATAACTATGCGTGTATCAATATCTTATAGTAGTAATAAGACTTACCGTGATATATAACTATGCGTGTATCAATAATATGTTATAGTAGTATACTCTATATGACTTACCGTGATATATAACTATGCTTGTATCAATAATATATTATAGTAGTATACTCTATATGACTTACCGTGATATATAACTATGCGTGTATCAATATTCAACTGTATATAGACTCTGTTTACATTTAACTGATAAGTCAGCAAGAATAGAAGACGTCTGCGTGTTATAATCCCTACCCAATCACTGATCTTATTTTATATATGGATATTATATATACAACGTATATTACGTCATAAGTCTCGTGCGGCTTAATACATGTATATTTAAATCAAATGGTTTATACAACGGGTGCTTGGTTTCTAGAACCAATTGAATAATCACGTGATAACACCTTGTCCAATATAAATTCATTCACACACGTCAATTAAAGATCCCCCATTAAACCGCTTGCTTATCGTTGTCGTAAACCCGCTTCTGTTCTAAATTTGTAGAATTTGACTCATTCATAAATGATATATAAATGACATAAAAAAAAAGCTCCACGCTGGAATCTGATTCAATGAAACATAAATCACTCAAAACCAATCCTTGAGTACAGGATCGGGGTCAGGGGTCAATAACCAAGACACTGTGAATTATAATTCGGACAAGTATGACGCATGTTTATATATTTTTAATATCTATGTGTATACGGAGATCTACGTGTGTACGGAGATCTATGTGTGTACTCTCAGACCTATGTGTACTAAGACCTATGTGTGTACTCAGAACTATGTGTAAAAATGAGAAAAAAAATTTCTAATATTTACATTTTGTGTTGATAAATCGTGCGGGTGGAAAAGGGGTATCATTTTTACATTGCCGAGGAGCTTTATACTTACTGACCAGAGAGTTCCTCGGGAATTTCAAGCGTGGGTGCCCGTGTCAGTGATGTAGGGTGGGAGACTATGCTAGGAAGAGACACGGCGTCCTGTCATTCGGATAAGATAAAAAAAAAAACACGTTGTCATGCACGTAAAATAACATTTGACGGTTGGAATTCCAAATAAGAGTAGACTGTAGCGCCGTATGTCCGCCTTCATCAGCCATTTCATTTTAGAAGAGCATTAAATTGGCAGTCGGAAAACAAATAATTCTAAGTTTGATATGGACGTAGATTAGAGGAAATACTGTTGATATTTTGGTCTTTCAGTTTGATTCAAAGTTTTTAATAAAGATATTCAATTCTACAGTGTATAATTAGAAACGACCTGTTGATTGCAGGGTTTAACGTTGGCTTACACCGACGGTGATATCGCAGACCAGTTAAGTATACAGCTAGAGGTCTTTTCTGTGGAAGGTAGCCGGCGAGAACCAGGAGTAAACCCACGAAGTTGAGAAGGCGCCATGCACCGAAACCACGACCACAAGTCAGAAGTAACCGATATCTACATGTAGTCAGAAGTTCACAAACTAGGCCATGTCAATCCACTTTACGGAAAGATTAGACTACACAAAGAAACAGACTATAGATACTAACAGCAATATTCTGGGTCAAATAATGAAGCCCAGGGGTCACAGTTGATACAAATCGCAATTTGCATATAAATTCGTCGATAAACCATTATTTTTACCATATAAAGAAACGCGACATGACAATATGTAGCGGAAAGAGTAATAGGCTATTTTTAGGTATGAGAAACCAAGATTGTATTCGTAGCCTTTTATTAAAATTGGTGAATGTTGTGAAATAACGTTATCGAACGTAGCCTGTAACCGGCATTATTTGTATAGCGGCTTAATTAAATAGGCTTATATTAATCATTCCATTCAATACAACAATAATATAGGCCTACAAATCACCATTATCAAAATCAGCTTATAGAAATCTAGACGTACGTGGCGAGTACACTGAACTACTGTCATATATTCATATCCACGCACGTGTAATATATGACCTCGGACGAAATACCCAAAGGTGCACAAATTCTCAACTAAACGAATACGCCGTCTGTTGCTGGTGTCATTTTAATTCCTACTTTTTTAATCGTTGAACAGAGATTTATTCCCAGCATGCTAGTTCTCTGTGTGAATTATTTTACATAATTCTAAATGAGAGCCTATTATCCAAATCAAGTCAGCCGACGCCAATCTTAAAATTTCAACACTCAAAAATGGAATTATAGTATAATAGGGTATGGCAGTGCAGGACAAGGTAATATTATACATAGTCGAAGGCAATATTGTAGTAGTCGGCATTGCAGGACAAGGCAATATTATACATATTTAGTCGACATTGCAGGACAAGGGTATAGATGACATGGGTCGGCAGGACAGGACAAAACAATATACGGCTTCGTCGGTGGTTTTTTGAATGACTGACAGACATTGAAAGAAAACCATCAATATAACACATTAAATCCAGGATACCTGCATAACAAAATACAGACAAAACAAAAGATACCGTAATATTATATAGATGGACCCAAAAAAATACATATATATTTGTGGCATTAGGAAAGGACGAGATTTTTCGGCCACAAAGTGAGAGAGAGAGAGAGAGAGAGAGAGAGAGAGAGAGAGAGAAATGGGGTTTAAAGTTCACTCGACCCAAACTAGGTCATTTCGGGACTAACACATGGTTCAATTTTATTTCAATAATTCGCATGCGCGTATAGGGGTCTTCAGCAGTGGGAGAAAACCCACGAGGCTGGACAGGCAACCCTACTCCTTGTCACGTACAACCTGGGAATCGAAACCACGCCAGTTGACTCAATGGCAGTCCTTACGATACAGCGCACGTGCGTTAACCATTCGGCCATTCAACCTTCTATCGGCCATAAAATCAACCGACTATATTTAATCTGATCCCCCCGCCCCCGCCGCACTTCCAAGTTATTGATCTATCGTCATACGCGCCGAGCCACCATGGCTCTCGCGTACCTGGGTGGTTAGTGTCGGTTTAGGGTCTCGCGATTTGCAAGGCGGTTCATAAAATGTATGACATGTTTTAAAATGGCTTTAAATGTTTATTATATTATATATTAAAATTTGCTTATTTAAATCTTTACCGTTCGAGTGATAATTCTTTGTGTTTCTATAGATTTGGTAGGTTTGTTTATAAGTTCCTAACGTGTTTCTATAGATTGGGGAACTTAAAGATACATTATGTTAAAGCAAAATCTGGCATCTATTCACATGACTATATATCAACACTTTAGAACATCGGATGTTCGTGATTTTTACTGGATTAAAACACGATCGGCATTTAATAGTTTAATTATAAAAAAGCTAATCAAGACTTTGATCATTATCGTAACAATGGTAGCAATAAAAAAACGAGACATCGCTAATCTTATAAAAACTTCGCTCAGAATTAATTAATTTGAATGAAATTTTCAATATATTCATTTTACATTATCTATTTTTGAAGAACTGCCAGCTCTTTATCTAAATCTTATATAATGCATCTTAGTCTTAAAGTTTGAAGTTTAAGAACAAAAAGATATTATATAAACCCAAGAAACATTCAGTTCTTTAGTTAAACTTATAGAAACCTGACCAGTTCGTATTTAGTTCTATAGACACTCATTATAAACACATGTCGTACCTATATTAGAAAGATGTCTGAATATTATGTATGTAATATTATTTGAGTAGACCCAAGGTCCTGTTTTAACAAGCCCCCCCCCCCTCACGCCTTATATAGCTTAGTATTCAATTAATTTCTAACTATTGGTGTGGGCTATATATGGTCAATAATGGGAACTTAATCAGAAGACAAAATAATAGTCGATACATGTATATCCAATAATGCACACATTAAAATTACAGGTATGTCAATAAATATAATTGATGTTTTTTTTGGGGGGGATGTTAATTTTTTCCTCAACAGCAATCGTTGTTAAGGAAGTTGAATTATTAATGACGTGTTTATAGGCTCATAAAACATATTTAATTCAAAATAAAGAAACATTCGCGATTTGGATGTCTGAATCGGTTAGCAAAGAAAAAATCCTTATTTGACGTGATTTCACCATACAGACCCGCCAGCTAATCCGCGGATATTGGTCGGCCCACGGTCTCGCCAGCCAATCAGTTACTATTCTACTGCAAACACCCATGCTCGCCAACCAATCAGTATAGTTGTTCAAACTAATGAATGCCCTTCGGAATTTCAGTACAAAAACAGATGGAATTGACAAACATAAAAATTGACCATACGAATAAGATAGAATTAGTATTGGTGTATTTTTTCTAAAGGAAACAAATGTAAAGTTTAATAAGTGAGAATTAATCGTTTTGATTATGTTTGATCTTTATTCTGGCATGTTGGAGCTTTAACGGGTAAACATGGCGGAATATTAGTCGACTGGGAACCGCAGTGGGTTATTGAGAAAGGTAGCCTACTGCATCGCTATAACCTCGAGGTCCCGGGATCGATCCAGGTGTTCGCAGTGAAAGTTCACCAGGATTTCCCGGTGTGGTTTCACCTTGTCAGTGGTGCAGGATGGAGGGCTGGCCCCGAACAGCATCTATAGTCGTTCGGATAGAACGAAAATAAAACCCGACGTCAGCGTGCACGTAAAAGAACACCTTCTCTCCAAGCACACTGTATATTGCGTATCTCCGTCTTTTCTTTTCATTTTGTATTGGATAGAAGGGCCAATGTACCCCTTAATGTACAGTGTATTACCCACCTTGATTGGTATGTATAACTGTACTATTTTACAACCTATTTCATCATGAATAAATATAGAAGAGGGGACATCCGGCCCCACAAACGAAGGAATGTAAATAAGCGAGCTGACTAATCTCTAACCATAGCTGTGGGAATAGTTAAACAGGTTCACTTATAGTACGTCGACTGGCCTAAACACACCACAGTTTGTATAGCCATATTATGAAGGGTATATTATTTTGTGCCAACATACATGACACTATTCTGAATAGTTTACCCTGGCCCTAAGTTCACACAGCATTCTCAGACTTAAGTTAAGAATTTACTCAAAATTGTTCATCTAAGTCTCTAACTCAATATCATCCAAAGTCTTACACGTTGAAAATACGAATTATTTGTCAATTCAAGTCAACATTGATGTTGTCATCTTACCGGGAAAAGACAGAATTCTGATATCCAATATTTAAGACAAAAAAAACATTTTACCATTGGTACACTAATCGTGTACCATAGTGCGTTTTAGCGTCATTTGTAACAAGTGACCAGGAAGAACGAGGCTAGACATATTCAACTGGGGAGCCTGCCCAATAGACTGGAATAACCAG